CAAAAAATGCCCAATTTACAAGCATATCAGAATAAAGAAACTGTTCTCACAGGAACTATGTAACAGAGTGGATATATGTATACATATATTTATATACTTTTGGTGCAGGCGATTGTAACAAAAATGGGAGGTGCATATCTGCATGTAATAGCAGTCCTATAAACAAAATTTCAACGTTCTGAGGCTACTCATTTTTGAGTTATGCGAGATACATATATAATACGTACGTACGGTACTTACAGACGCCACGAAAAGTATCTTAATAATCATCAGATTTTTGGTTCAGTTAGAAAATAGTGCCCATATAAAGAATTCCATCCAATTTCAAGTATGTACCATTAGCCATTTTTAAAATATTACTCGCGCAAAGTGGAAACATGACGAAAAATTTTGTCATAAAGGGAATTAAATTACAAAAATATTGTGGCAACACAAACTGTCTGATTACTAGTTTCCAAAGCAGCTATATTATGTAGTCAGCTGTAAAACGTTAGGAGTAATTGCTTTCAAAATAAATAAAATATCCCAATTTTTGCAACAGTCACATATTCGAAGAGCATAAGGAGTTTAAGGTGTATGAACCCCCTTAAAGAAATACCAGAAAGGAAATAACAGCAAACAGTGCATTGGACAGAAAATAAATAAAACACTGTCCATGAAAATGTGTAGGGAAACATCAGAAACTTATATATAACAGAAATATAATAACATGTAACAGAAAGCTCAAAATCCATATAATTTCTTGCGAGGGAAATGCTGGTGAAAATGTTCGAAAAAAGACCCCTGAAATGTAAGTTGAGTCAATTTCGAAAAAGGCTTCAGCAGCCATCAAAGATGTAACCTCCCCTTCCCGCACAAATTCGAGCTAACTTTTCTTCCATCTTTCCACAGAACGAAGCTTTTACCTCAAATGAAATGTGACTGCCTCCTTTTTTTTTAGTTTTGGTTTGAGAAGTTTTTTTAAAGGAATTTCTTTAGTCGTAAGAAGAACCAATGTTTCTTCTATTTGTTTTATTTTTTATTTTCCTCAATCTTCCATTAGAAAAAGGCCATATTATTCCGAGTAAAATTACGCCATCAGATAAAAGCAAAACCACGATTAACGATTAGATTCGAAGTTTAATCTTTACGAGAAATCAGTTCTTTGTGGCCCCGGCTTTTAAATTGCAATTAGAAATTAAGTAATTTTAGAACAAACTGCATCAGAATATGTTCATTGCCTGTTTGGAGATACCGCTGTTGCGAATGTTTCAAAGACGAAAACGGGGATTATCCGAACTGAATCTGATCAACAGGAATTCGGATAATTAATTTTCATTAAAAAATGAGTATTCAAGCAAACAGTTTTGTTCAAGTACTAGAATTTTTATTTCATTGAAGGAAGTAAAAAGGCAGTATTGTAATCGCGAAAAGTTTCGGCTATCATATTTCAACGAAACTATTCATTTTTACCCCTATCGAATGCACTTCAACGATGTTTTTGCGTGACATCTCTATGTATGGACAAAAAAAAGGACTCTTCCCCCCAAAAAAGGTTAAAAAACTGATTTAAATTGAATTCTAAGAAGATACTTTTCGTGGCGTCTGTAAGTACCGTACGTACGTACGTACGTATTATGTATGTATATCGCATAACTCAAAAATGAGTCGCCTCAAGAACGTTGAAATTTTGTTTATAGGACTACTATTACATGCAGATATGCACCTCGTATTTTGGTTGCAATCGGCCGCACCAAACGTGTATAAATATATTTATATATATATCCACTCTGTTACCCGGCTCAGTGATCTCAGTTTCTTTACTCTTATATGTTTGTAAATTGTGCATTTTTTGCTTTAAAAATGATTGAATTATGTTGTTTTTATCTTCCGGTTAAGGTTTTTATGCCTTTAGTAAATCTGTATGCAATATTTTTAGAATTATCAACAATTTAAAAGCTGTTTAAGTGCCGCTAAGCCTTTTTTTTATGGCGGCCATTGATTGTTTACATTTGAAACAGCAGAGTAGTGGATTTGTTGCCAATATAGAGAAACTAAGCTTCGCAACAACAAAGTAATATCTTATTTTATTATTGCGAATTAAATTATGCTTAATCCATTCTGAATTTATCATTTAAGTTATTAGCTTGTTTTTGCGCAGGAACTGTAATTTTAATTGTAAAAATTGTTTTTTTTTTAAAATTTATTGTTTCAATTGTACTTGGTGTTTTATAGTTTTGTATATCTTTCAATTTTTAATGAAAACATTTTGAATTATAATGTATTTTTGTCTTGCCGCGAAGTGAGAACTGAATTAATCAGTAGCGCATGCGCATCAGGTAAGAGGCATTGAATCGTCTGTGAAAAACTGTGTCTTTTTTATTTGTTTAATTTCTTTTATACATCGTTTCCGATTTATTATAGTATTTGAATAGAACATGTGGTAATTCTTCAGATGATATAATTTTTGTGCACTCTGAGTTATAAAATGAATGAGATGTAACACTGTTAAGTGAGCCTAGCGCCGAAGTATCGCTATGGTAAATAAGTATAGTGAACTTTAAAGAGTGCATTTATTGTATTGTGGTTTATGCGCTATCGATGAAGTAGATTTTATTCAAAATTCGTTAATTCAATATGTTCGAAAAAAAATGCAGGACAATTGTGTATAATTTAATATTCCGTACAAGAAAGTTATGTGGTGTACACATCAGATTTTTCTAAATTTAATTTAATTTAATTTACGCATTTTTAGCTAGAATAAACTACGTCGTTAGAGACGCCAGCGTAATTTTCCAAAAGCAGAATTTCGATTGTGTGAACTGAATCTGACCAAGAAGAGTTATGATAATTCATTTTCATGTTAAATAAAGACTATTAAAAGAAACAGTTTGTTCAGAAGCATTGCATTACTAATTTTATTTACACACAAGCCCCCCCCAAATGGGATAATGGTTAATGAAGCACGGTTTCGTATGCCGGGGAAGACGCTGATGTTTGTAAATGTGTAATATCTATGCGGTATGACGACACTCAAAATATACAATGAGTAGAAAGTCCTCTCGAGTGGTTTGGATTTAAGAGAAGAGGGAAGCGAGATCTTTGGACCCGTTCCACGGGGCGCTCTCCTTCAAAATATGGACGGAACTACTAGACTGGGGATAGTACAACTAGAAAGTCGTACTATCCCCTATGTGATGCTTGACGCCTATGCCAACGATAGACGCAATCTTCCAGTTCTTGAGACGATACAATTTGTTAGATTGTCCTGAGTAGATCAGACATGTGAGATGAGCTATAACACCAGCAACGGTTATATACAAACCTATTTTCAAATTTTCGGCCTTTATGGACCTTTCTGGACTTTCTGGCCTTTATGGACCTTTATGGACTTTATGGCCTTTATGGACCTTTATGGCCTTTATGGCCTTTATGGACTGTCCGTCCCTTCACAGGTGACAGGTGACAGCAGGACAGGGCACCCGGACGGCTTTCTATGACTACTCGGGTATTACACTGGCCCTGCAACCATCTAGAGACTTCACAGTTGTAAGACGCTTAACAGATGTGTGCTCAATACATGCCACGTTACATCTACAGTATTATATGTGCACTGTCCATTACTGCGCTAATAGCCTTTAACGACACGTCGGCTCGTGGGATAACTAAAAACAGTTACATTTCCATACTACGAATACACATACCGTTGCTGTCCTAGCTACTTTAGTAAGCTTTGAGAATCGTTATGCCAATTATGTTTATTGCGTGTGCCCTATTCCGGCCTGCAGAGATCTATGCCCATTTTTTCTAGCTTGTCCATTATGCTTTTAAGCTTTTGCCGCGTGCCTCGATGTGTCCGTCCCTTCACAGGAGGGAAATGTAGCCCACTTATTAGGTGCCTCCGTAATAAAGTGACCATCAATTCTGGCCTTAGTATTGTCGAAGCCGAAGTCGGCTGAGGGCCCACCATTGGAAAACAAATCAAATATTAAGCATTTTATTTGGACTTTAGCTTTAAATTTTTTAACCCAACAAGCAGGAAAAATTACGAAATATTACACATTTGTTTTAACTTTTCATTGATTAATGCTTCATTGGACAAGTCCCTTAACCCTCAACAGCATCTTTAACACACTTGAGTTCCATTAGCTTTTATACATTCGACATGTATTATGTTATTCTCCTTCAGGCTTCATTTATACAGGTTCCAAACGAATAGAATGTCCCACTTTGCGAATCAAGCTGAACTGTGGATGAAAAATGTGATGTGACGTTTTGAGGATTGCGAGCGGTTTGATTTCGTAAGCGTTTATCCGGTACTGGCGTCTTGTGTACATAAGAACGCATTCACATAATCCATCTGAGTAGTTTAATTAAAAAAGAAGCCTTTTGCTTTATTTATTTAATATAAATTTAACATAATGTATACTTCACAAAAGATCTTATGAAAACATATTATTCATTCTCAGAGATCTTATACTTAGAGCAAAAATGGAGCTTTATTCGTTTTGAGAGGTCGAACCCGTTGAGTCTTTAACCCCTTAACTGCCGCGGGCGTATATATACGCCTTGCTCAGCTGATGCGTTAACTGCCCCAGGCGTATATATACGTTATTCCAAACTGCTATCATTTGCTTTGCGCTGCTACACCTAAAATTATTCGCAAAGTTAACGCATCGGCTGCGCATCTGGGCGCATCTGGGGCAGTTAACGCATCGGCTGAGCAAGGCGTATATATACGCCCGCGGCAGTTAAGGGGTTAATAGTAAAAAATATGCTAATGTCAAAACTTGTATTAAATGTCTGCCATACATATATATATAGAGTTAAACAAAACCTAATTCACTTAAGAGAGATGTGGAGAAATAATAAAATTTAACTAAAATAAATCTGTGTTATCGAAGGAGGAGAATCTAAATGAAAACTTCCTTTCTTTAAGGAGAACATTTCTTTCTTTAACAGCATAGTTAATTGCATTTTATGACCCATAATTCAAAATATATAGTGTTTGAGGCACCTACTTGGAATCCTGTTGATGGCCCTCAAGGGCCGTAGAACCCGGACTGTCCTGATGGCGGAGAGATTGATGTTGCCCACATCTAGGCAATACTCCAGGGAGCTGCAGAAGAGAGAAAAAAAAATATCATCTCGCGTTTTGAGTTTTTGTCGGAAAAAAAAAACATTCTGGAATTTATAGGCTCATTAAACGTCCGCAGCCGTTGAATGCTCATCATTCTTTATAAGTGAAAAATTTCAGTGAAGTAGTGAAAGAGGCTAACGTCTTGCTCCAAAATCAAATATAAAATAGGGTTCCAGATGTTTGGAACGATGCCTTATTAGAAAAGAGGCTTAACAAAGAAAAATGAAATATATCACAGTATTTTCAGAAGGAACTTTTCAGCTAGGCCATTTTTTATCGCTAAAAGTCAATAAGGAAGTTCTAAATCTAAAAATAAGTTATTTATATTTATTAATCTAGTTAGAAAATAAATAGAAAAATCTCGAAAAAAAGTGTTTACAATTGTATCTCGAACGCGTTTAGAAATGCAAATGTTGAATGCATTAGCAGATGAAGCTACTTCAGTTATTTAGCTGTAGAAAAATTCAAAACTGACAGAAGGAACTATGCAGCTTGGCCGGTTTTTCTCTCTAAAAGTCAAGAAGGAAGTTGTTTACATTTAGCAGAAAAATAAGTCTTTTAGAAGTGCATATGTTGGATTCATTCACAAATGAAGCTATTTTAAGTTATTTAGCTGTACAGAAAATCAAAATTGACAGATAGAGCTTTGCAATTTGGCCATGTTTTACCTCGAAACGTAAAGAAAGCTGTTCTAAAAGTAAAAATATGCTATTTATATTTGTTAATCTAGTATAAAAATAAATGGAAAAGTCTTGATAGACGTGTTTGTATTTTTTACTTGAATGCTTTTGGAATGCAAATGTTGAACTCATTAACAAATTCAAAAATTCAAAATTGACATTTATTTAATTATAATAATTCTTCACTTATATTTAAAGCTAGTTGTAATCAAAATATACATGCAGATGAGTTTTAAATGCAGATGCATGATTAATTTTGAGGAAAAACTTTTAGTTTCGAATACGAAATAGATTAGGCAATTCTTACCACTTTGGAAAGGGGTCAAATATTCTATTTTGAACGAGATACTGCGATCTAAATTTGAAAGAATACTTCACTATATTAAACACAATGTTATAAACAAATGCTTTATTCTTATACATAATACACAATCTACTATAAGCTTATTATTATTTAACTTAACACATAAAGGAAATAGAAAATGAAGAAATAATACAAATAAGCAAATTTTAGTTTAATTGGAGTTTAATCCAATATCAATAAAACGGTGTTATTACAGATGTGAATCCGGCAGATGTGCAGGACTTGATGCACAGTTTAACTCGATACAGATTTTAATACGCTTCTGACAGGAACGGAGTGAATCTTACATCATTAATGACTTTGTTTTGCAAAAAAATGTCAGAAGTTTCTAAGAAATCCAAACTGAGATTCAGAGTAATGCCAACAATTATTTTGGACTCTGAAAACAAACTGAAATTTGAGATTTATTAACCAATAATGGGGAAGCTATTGAAGATATTTTCACTTCTTTCTGTATAGCATACTTTATCAGATGCTGGTATAACTTTACATCGGAGGCGTGGAAAAACTTATTCCAAGTCTTGGAATGCTGTTTATACTTTTTTCTTTTTTCTTTTTTACTTTTTTCTTCCAAATAAGCCTGCACCTCAACACCTGTCGCTTTCAAAAATAATCATTTATTGTTCATAAAAATAATCATTTCTGTAGCATTTGACAATTCTTAATGTTCTAAAGAATTTCTGTTTCATTGGGAGCAAATTCGCTTTTATCACACTATCTTCGGTAAAATATACTGGCCGTCAAAATTAAAGGATAATGAGAAAAACTTACTAAGTTAATGTTGCAACCAATGTCCAATGTTGTAATTATTTATGATAATTAAACACAACTGAACACAAAATTGCATTTCCGCGCAAATATTAGCGCTTATTAACTAATATGCATACGAAAGAAGTAAGATCGAGGTACAGACGATTGGCTTTTTGTACCTACACATACAGCTTCTTCTATACTATATACAAGTACAATTACATATTGCACAGAAGCGCATTTACACTATTATATGGCTATATGTTTCCAATTTTAGTTCAATATTTTTTTTCGAAATTCAGCAAAACATGTTTATTTATTATTTTATAAAATAATAAAATAATACATACACTGAAGTGACAAAAGTCATGGGATACCTCTTAATATTTTGTTGGTCTTCCTTTTGCCCGGCGAAGTGCGCAACTCGACGGGCTGGACTCAACAAGTCGTGGAAGTCCCCTGCAGGAATATTGAGCCGTGTGCCTCTATAGACGTCAATAGTGTGAAAGTGTTGACGGTGCGGGTTTTGGGCATGAAAGGACCTCTCGATGATGTCCCATAAATGTTCGATGGGACATGTCGGCGACTAGGTGGCCAGATCATTGCTGGAATTGTCCAGAATGTGTCTTCAACCCATCGCGACCATTGTGGCCCGGTGACATGGGAATGTCATCCTAAAAATCCCATCGTTGTTTGAGTACGTGAAGTCATAAATGGCTGAAGTGAGTACATGAAGTCCATAAGTAGCTGAAGGTTCCATTTCCAGTCAATGATGGTTTAGTTGCACCAGAGGACCGATCCATGCCATGTAAAACAGCCCAGGACCATCATGGAACCACCCAGCTGAACAGTGCCTATTGACAACTTGGGTCCATGGCTTCGTGGGGTCTGCGCCACACTCGAACCCTACCATCAGTTTCCAACTGAAATTGTGACTCAACCTGACCAAGCCACAGTTTCCATTCGTTTAGGGACCAACCGAATGCTCACGAGCCCACGGAGTCGGCAGGCGTGTCGTGCGTCAGTAAAGGCACTCGAGTCGGTCTTCTGCTGTCATGCCAGGAAGAAAATCCCTCACTGTCCGTCGGACAGTCCTCGTACGCCCCACATTGATTCTGCGGTTATTTGACGCAGTGTTGCTTGTCTGTGAACATTAACAACTCTACGCAGATGTCGCTGGTCTCGGTCGTTAAGTGCAGGGGCGGACACTGCGCGTCCATGGTGGGATTAGTGCTGAAATTGATACTATCGACACACTGTTGACCTGTGGATCTTGGAATGTTGAATTCCCTACGATATCCGAAATGGAATGACGTCTAGTTCCAACTACCATTCGCGTTCAAAAGTCTCTTAATTCTCGTCGGGCGGCCCATAATCACGTCAAAGCTTTCACATGAATAAACTGAAAAACAAATGAAAGCCCTGCCAAAGTACTTCGCATTTATACATTTTCTACGCGATACTACTGTCATCTGTATATTTGCATATTGCTATCCCATGACTTTTGTCACTTCAGTGTATATACAAATATGGCACTTATAATTCTTTTATTCTACATGAGCAATATCAATATGTATAGTGTTTCGAATCCATAGCAATTCTAACCTTCTAAAGAAATAAATCTTTTTAAAATCTAATAATATAATCATATTTCGGTTATTACATGGCAGATAGATTTCTAAAGAAGCTGCGAAAGAGGTGAAGAGGAGGATGCTAAAAGCAGAGCCAAAAATTGAAAATTTATTAAATTTATGGAAATCTCGGTATATATAGATATATGTACATATCTATATCTATACCTATATATATATGTATGTTAACGTCAGAATTTAATACTAAAGCTCTCAAAGAAGTTTTTATAATTGGTGACCCGGGTTTCGAAGTATGTTTCATGTATTGAAGCTGTGTTTACGTTGTAAAATTGACTTCATCAATTTTTAGTATCGTTTATTCTTTCTTTATTTGTCTTATTGTGACAACAAAAAGTAGATTTCTCGCAATAAAGAATGCAGATTTCTTAACCTCTTTTTTAATTAGGACATGTCTTTTCAAATATTAAGATTGTATTTCAACAGTCGATAAAATATTTCCTTGAAACATAAGAAAGCAAAGAAATATAAAACTAAAAAAAAGTAATAAAATACCCCCAGAGAAAAAGTATCTGCTCCAAACGATAGGTTTACTTTGGAGCGCTGTGTTGAGCTTATGCTTGAATAACAATTTTTTTTTTATTTCACATTTAAAAGAAACGAAGGAAAAAAGGTATAATTATTAAATATTAGTAAAATTAAGAAAATATTTAATGTTCTAAAAATCAAAAAGTGAGAAAACGAATTACAACAAATATAGTGTTACAACAAATTACAACAAATATAGTGAAACGTTATCTAATTATTTTCACGCAAGTGATCTGCAGTGAAATGCGTCTGCTATAGGGTGGCCCAGAAGTCACTTTACATTTTGGAAAATAAATAACTTTTTTTCTATTAATATATTTCTTTTTTCTTTTCAGAATTAATAAAAAATATAATCCCTGGAAATTTTTGGCATGGATAAGTTTTATAACAGAACAACGATGAAGATAATTGAATTTACTTTGAAAATGAACGGTCAATTGTTGCAACGCATATATGCGCATTTTAATGTTCGACATCCCCCTAGTAGGCCTGCATAAGGAACTTAGTGCGCGTTTTCAAGGTTCAATTAGTGCAATCTTTAAAAACCAGCAGACTTTCAGAAGGAGTAAATTATGCTTTAGGTTTCAGAGAACTGCAAGAAATGACAATGAGTTATTCACAAGTTGATCATGGGAGAGAGCTCATTTCCTTTGAATGGACATGTGAATAAGCAAAAAATAAAAAAGAATTAATTAAATACAGTCATTTAAGAAAAGTTATTTAATTTTCAAAATGTAAAGTGACTTCTGGGCCACCCTGTATATACTGGATTTTTCCTCGCATTTATTCGGTAGTTATCCACAAAGGGTTAAATGTTATCAATAAAAAATATCCAATTAAAGGCTGTGAGACTGATTTTGTTTTTAGGTTTGTATTCATTGGATATTGAAAAGAAGACCAGTCAGGCAGAAACCTAGGTTGAAAGAAAGGAAAAAATAATAATTGGAAGAAGAAGAAGAAGATTTACCGGCGGCTTCCAAGAATCTACCTTTCGTTTAGCTAATATTAAAATCTTTGTATTAATCAAACTTTTTTTTTTGGATAATTTGTAATGCTTTGTACTAATATAAAAGAGGTGTGTTCACGATTTCCAAAACCATCAGGAAGGACAGTTGATTCAATTACACAACATTAGATGGAGTCCAAATTGCCATCCTGGCAATATGTTATAATCGATCATTTGGTTAGTTTGGTTCAAAACAATTGCTATTATGTATTTATATAAAATTTCGAAGAAAATATAGAAATAAAGTCTTTTACCCTGCGAAGACGATGAAGAAATCAAGTCTGTTCCACGTCTCAGCTAGGTAAGCATTCTTCCCGAAGGCCCCCATGGCCGTGATCTTGATGAACATCTCGATGGCGAAGAAACCAAAGATGACGTCATCGAAGTGCTGTAAAATCTTGCAGCGGTTGGAGTCACAGACTTCGTCAGCGCATGGCCTGTACATGCCCAGAGTCACGCAGTTCAGTAATATCACCATCATGCACATGCGTTCGAACCACGTAGAGAGCAAAGTTAAGGATAAAACCAATAGTATGGCACACGTAGAATATAATTTAAAATTGATGCATAGTAATATGACATTAAATTTAGTAAATATAACATTAAGAAATACTTTATTCTAATCATTTACTTGTATTTAGTTATTGAGTCTACTTAAAAGTGACAACTGAGTGCACTTTTGTTTTTCTTAAAAAATACTGAATTAGAAATTAATTTTCTTATTTAAAGTCTTACACGGTTTTAAATGGCATGTCAGTTTGGAAAGACTTATGTGTGATCTTTTTAGATAATTTGCTGAGCCAGCGTCCAGGCGAAAAATTAATGTCTCTTCCATGTTGCGTAAGAATATGGGTCACAAAATTAGGACGACAAGAAAAATGGAAAACAGCTACTGTCTGTTGCCTGAAAGCATTATATTAAATTATTGACACTAAAAAGCATTGAACACCCCAAGAAATACACCCAGTTTTACACAAGAAATAATACTTTCATTGCTAATTTCACAAGAAGCTTTAGTTGAGGAATATTTTGTAGTAGATTATTACGTATAAAGCAACACCAGTCTATTCCTAACAAAATCGGAAGTTTATAATGTTGATTTTGAAAAAAATTAATTTTTTGTAGAATTATATTTCACAGAAATTAACATACACATAACATAGATTATACAATTATTACACGAATAACACAGATTATTTATATATTACTGGAAAGTCCGGCGGTCATACGATATGACAGCTGTTCTAGATATTATAAACTGGAATTACAAGGATTTGTGGAGAGGTGTCTGCTAATTCAAACTGAATTACCCAGGGCAGGCAGCGAGGATGCCCTTTTGCTTATTGCCCACGGGGTTTCCCCCTTCTACTTGCTTAATTGCTTAAAATAGAGTGCAATGAAGGAAACCATTGGCGGTACATTTCTTAAGAGCCACCGCTAGCCCAATAAATAAAGGTGAGTTAAATAATAAAATTTTAATTCACATGTCCAAAATCTCTTTGTACACAACATTTCTTGGTAGATCTTTCCATCATTTTAAGCTCGCCTGCAGAGGACATCCATTATTATTTTAATTTACGTCCATTCTTCACAAACTGTTGAATAGGCACATAAAGTCGACTGTGTTAAATGCAGGCTGAGGTAAAAAAATGCGACACACGCTAAGCGTTTGGCCTGAATATGGATGGTCATAACAAAGGCAAAGTTTTACAAGGAAACGTCTACATTTCAATTGAAACGGCAACCCTGTGCCGTGGCAACTTCACCCCATCGGCTAGTACAGTTACGCAAGCAACCAATAAACTATAGTCGACAAACAGACACTTAAGCCGCATATATTTATGGGGTGAAGTAACATCCTCTCCTCCGAAACGGCTGGCTCCTGGGCTTAGCGAAGCACACCGTTGGATTCCGCAGGTTCATGGCGCACCATTTTGACCATTTGAGTCTTCGTGGGACTTTAATTAGCCGATATATTAATTAAAAACTAATTTTTCCCTACGTTTTTCCTACATTTTCACTTTCTTTCTTGGGTTTTCCCTATTAGAGGGATTTGGCTACGTGCCAAAGTCTTTTTTCTAGAATACCTACGGAACGGCGCCGAATTGAAATTCGAGACGCATATCGTCGGATTCCAAAAAATTCTCCGAATCCATCGATAACATTATCATATTCGTAGACTTAACTCGGCCGAGACATTAATTAAAACGGCGGAAACGTTAATTTCGCGCTCATTTTTCCGAGTGGCAACAATAAACTATCGGCGACACACACTTAAGCCGCTTATATATATAAAGATCATACAAATATATTATTACATTATTTATAGATTATATCATTATATTAAAAATATATACGTTATACCAGACGGTACAGTGGTTAGGGGAGGTAAACCGCTGAGTTGGCTTCCGACCCTGGCATAGATATATCGATGCAGAATTGGTTACCAACTCGGCGGGAATCAACCACTAGTTACCAGGCCGCAGCCCCGGCTGAGCAGACGACATATATAAAATGCAAAAAACAAAGTCCTAACCACTACGGTACCGAAGGGTCCGGGTTCGAATCCCGGAGAAGACATGGATGTTTGTAAATGTATAGTGTCGGTGCGGCATGGCGGCCATTATCATCTTCGTAAATATGCAGTGAGCGGAAATTCTTCTCGTGTGGATTGATGGAAGTGGAGAGGGGTGGCAGACTCCCGGATAACCCCCGAGGTACTCTTCCTCAAAATTGGGGGTGGAAAATCGAAGTAGAACCTCTCTTCGGAGTAGGCTCTGGCAACCATTGTTCCATGTAATATGGGCAAGATAACAACAACAATATATTCAAAATTATGATACTAAATATTATATCATTATATTATTTGTATATTATTATTAAAACAACACATATTATACAATTGTCATACAAATACATACGTAGCTTATGAAATTATTATACACTTAACGAGGAACCCTTTTTTTGTGAACATCAGTTAGATGCTTTGACATTTCGTAAATATGTGTTGTGATTATGACTTCATGATATCAAACATAAAGCAAGTATTTTATGAATACCAGGAGATATATGTCTTCTACTTTAAAATTTTGAAAACACTTAGACGATTTTTCAAGACAACTATGTACATTACAATTCAGATTACCAATGAAGTAGACTTGTCAAAAGATGTTGTTTACGGTTTAGTCAAAGAAGCGATCAGTTTGATTGTGGTTTGAGGTGCTTCAGAATATGCAGTTGGCATCTGCTCCGTACATGAAGAGCAAATTCAACTGAATGCGAGATCTAAGACAGGCCTTTCTCCACAAGTCCCTACGATTCGTCATCGTGAAGGAAGACTTTGCATGATTGAAATCTCAACCACGTGATAACGTGCTGTTAAGGGAAGGGATAAATAAATCTAGCTGTCACCCAGAATTCGAAATTTGTCATCTCATCTACCGAATAATATAGAAAAAAAGGTCACCGAAGAAGGAATCCTGTTCGCTCTCAACTGAAGAGATGGGATGGGATAAAATCGAAAATACCAGACTTCAACCAGATGTTCCTAAAACGTTCACCAACGTAGATCATTGCTAGAATGAAATTAAAAAGTTCATATATCTATCTGCTAGCAATGATATTTGCTTTGAATTTATTTTTACATCGCAGCGAAGGAAGTTTTCGTGAAAGTCATAAGGCGATATAAGACGAATTATGAATTTAGCTATCTTCAATCACAAATGTGTAGACTTTATTTACATAACTAATACAGCATTCAATAATAAAAGAAATTCGCAATCATCTTCAGAATTATTAAAAAGGTATTCGACGGCTGTTTGTCAAATGGGAGAAATGCCTTTCTGAGGGACATTAGGGTTAGAACTCGAACACAGTCTTAACTTCTTAAATCATCGCTCGGCCATTGGTGGCCAATTACTAGGCTTCATAACTTAACTGCATACCATCTGCGCAGAAATGAAAATGTGTTTCCGGAATCGGGAAGCCAGAAGGGCCACTTAAATCTGGCAACATCAAATAACAGTAGCAAAGAAAGAAGAGAATGGGTTATTAGTTTGCATGGTTTTAATGCATATGGCAACACAAGTGTCTATGGTTGCTGCATATTCAATATAATTCGATCACAGGTAGTTGTCAGTGCTTAAACTTGACACTTTTTGTATATACATTCTTTAAGAAAACAAACGTTGCTGTCAGTCTTTTGTTTTAGTTAGGAGAATATTACATTTTTTCAATGTTTACCACTACACTTTCAATGTTTACTTTACTGTTTCAATGTTACTTTCAATGTTTACAAATATTACATTTTTTCAATGTTACCAATTTTACATTAGTTAGGAGAATTTTCAGAATATTTTTCTTATTTATTACGTTCATACCGTCATTTTATTGCTTTTATTTCGAGGTCTCAGTTTTCGACTATTGTTTTTCATTTTGTTGAAAATGAAATTCGCAAGCTAACTTCAATTGATTTTTTTTACTAATTCATAACCCAAATTTATTTCGATTTCGCTCTAACAAATTTTAAAACAAAACTGAACATTCATGGTGTTGAGTGAATTTTAAAATTAATATAAAGAAGGAGAATTTTTCAACAAATTATTTAAATATCTCTACAGAATTAAGCCATCATTTCTCTTAGAAACAGAAGAAGTTTTCCAAAACATAATGACTGTGAAATATTTTTTTTTTTTGCTATTTCATATAATTATTACTAAACTGATTGTAGCCTCTAGCGCGTTGTTCAATTCATGAATTTTTTAAATATTATTTCATTTATTTCGTTCTAGCATATGTATATATACGCATACAGTATTTTTGGACAGAATTAAAGCGAATAATACTGACAAAGGAAATGATAAGAACGGTTGGCTAAAGTAAAAGATTAAAATTTATAACATGGAATCAACATGAACTGATACAATAATACTTCGGTATAATAATAAGATAAATATTATGTGTTTAATTTGATAATTAACTTTCTCTTGCTTATATGGTCTACAGCAGTAGGATAGTTTTAAAACTTTGATGTAATTCTTGATTACCCTTTTCGTCTACTTAAGGTATTTTCTTTCAAAGAGAATAATAAAGGTCGTTTAAATCATCTTTGTAGATTTGTTCATTTGCTTCTTTTAACAATACTAAATATATACAGTGCATCATTTGAAGATGACACTTGACAGTTCCAGACAATTTTGGTCTTTTTTTGAAATGTTATGCTACATTTGTAAGAATTTTTTTTAATTAACACGTTATTTCTTATGTTGAAGATTTTTAACTCAAAGAGGCAATTTGTCCAGAAGCCCTATTAATTTCGTTTTGGCATTTTGAGTCGTTCACTATAAAACGGCGTTTCACTCTTTAAATTGTTGCCACCAAATGTTAGAGTCCTGCATTATATTAAAAGAAATTAAATAATGAAGAATCTGCATGGATGTATGTATTTTTCTCGTACTGTGAAGAAACAGCGATACCTAGAGACATCAAATTTTGAATAACTTGATACTCCACTAGAATTTGGGCATCTGAAAGCCCAAATTTGGAATTTGTTTTATTATCTAGTTCATATTTTTTAAAACTTCAACGAATATTTGATTAACAAACTCAACAATTCAAAGC